TCCAAATAGCCTTTGGTTTGGCATTTTGATGTAACCAGTGATTTATCTTCGTCATGGTCACCATCAGCATTTTCTGTTCAAATCTCAAGGTGATAGATTTATAGTAGTTTTAGTACAGCCACTGGAAAAAACCACACAAAGGTAATCTGAATGGCTAAGTGAGAAAAGCCATCATGCTCTTTAACAAACTATATCTCTGGTTAATCACATTGTTCCTTTATCCTTTCCGGTAACATGCTATTCCCTTTTAAATAGTCCACAAAAAAATGAAGACAACAGCAAATCTACTAAAATCATGGTAGTAAGAATGCACTTTACAAAGGAGAGAGAAATTTGGCATCAAAGAGACTGGCAACTGCAGAAAACTTTGAGTAACACATAAGTTATGGATGGAAAAGATGTGGGATAATTTCCCAATTTTCTCACAGGTTGGTGGGACTAGTTTAGTTTGGAATTATGTTCGGCATGGACTGGTTGGACTGAAAGGCCTGTTTCCATGCTGTATGACTCTGTGACTCTCGGCTGATTGCAACAAAATGTATTCTCGAGGAGTGTCTCAATGCCTTGACTGCTGCAGCTTTATAAAAACTGATGCAAAACAGGTTTTCTTCTAAAGTTAAATCAAAAGCAAGGATAAACATCTATTTCTTACAACACCAAAATTAACACAACGTTATGATAATGGCTATCTCCAGCCAGTTTCATGTATGACTATAGTATCATTGTACTCCATTGTCTGTACAATGGATTGGTGGCAGATGTAACTGACATAAAATGGAGAATGAATGATATCCCATCAACATTCTGGCCATGAGCAGTCTCCTGAGTGTCTTTATTTGAAACTCCTTCTTCACGGCCCAAGTGAGTCTAATAGCCATTGATATTTTAAATTTCTTCCACCGAAATAGACGGGGGCATTCGTCAATGTTTAGGAAGGCCATTTATACTTTAATGATTTTGCACAGACCTGCCCAGACATAAATTTAGTCCCTGTCTGTGCAGAAACTACAAATGAAATCACTGACTTTCTGGAGTCCACTATGTTTCACAGGCTTATGATGGTACCATGATAAATATGAATCATAGAATAATACAGCACAGAAAACAGACATTCATTCCATCATGCTGTGCCTCCTCTTTGGAGAGATTAGCAAATGAGTCCCACTCCCCTCATCTTTTTTTTCCCTACAACATTTCAAATCTTTCCTTCAAGCAATTACCCAATTCCCTTATGAAAGTTACCACTTAATATTCTTACTCCATTCTTTCAAGCAGTGCCTTTCACATTGCCAAAATTCACTATATGGCTCCATTTGGAATGCAGTGGCAGTGAATAAGCTTAAGATTGATCTTCTCCATCTGCCAACTGAGCCCTATTCACAGTCACTTTAGAAAAAGAGCAAAATATCAAAACAGAAGTTTAAATGATTTCAAGAAAGTCAACACTTCCCATTTCCACAGTATAACATTGACTGGGTGGCTTACGTATATTTTTAATATCATTTAAGTTTGGATTTTTGAATTTTTAGTAAGTGATATATGGGCTTTTCCGTGTGTCTGAAGAGTTAATGATTAACTTGAAATTACTTGTTTACCACTTTGAATTCTTTAATAACAGCTTGAGTGAGTAAGCTTCAGAATAAAGGGCATTTACCTATTACTCATTCGCAGGGCGTACACAACTGAACAAGGTAAAACAATTGGGTATGAAGGTTTCTCTTAGAAAATTCTGGGGGAACTTCTTGTTAAGCTTAAGGAAAACTTTCCCTCCCGTGGACTTCTAACATTGGGTGCCCAACAAGTCAATCATCACAGAGTCACATCTTTCCATGGCTCTTCAATGTACCAGATTTATGAAAATCTGGCCACCTGGGACTAGGACCTTCAGATAAAAGTTGGCACAGTGAAAATATGTCAATGCTGTATGTCACTGAACTGGAACAAGTACTGAAAATGTTTTTTCTTCTGGATTAACTATCTACTGGAGGTATATCTAACAAATTCATGGCCCATATTTTGCTTCCAACAACCTCAAAGAAAGATGCCCACAGAGAGCCAATGATACTTGTGACACAGTTTTCCCTTTTCCCAGCAGAAGTTTAAATCTGGAGCTAGGTCAACAGGATCGCTTGCTATGCTGCAGCAATGATGTTGGCAGGCAAGTATGCAGCCAAACACATGGAAGTATTTACACACAGCAAACTAGGAAGTTAAACATTCAATAAGCTATCAAATTGACTTGCGCAAAGTGATCGATATAAGCAACAGCAATGGAAAGAAACACACACATGCGTAACAAAGAAAATCACAGACAGTATACATCAACAAAAATGTAACCACTGTATTGCATGCATTCTTTGAAAGTAACAACATTCTACTGGTTGGCGTGATGGTTTATAGTTTAAATGCCTTCAGTGGCTTTCAAGGGTTAAAATCAAATGTTGCAAGTCAAAATAATTTTCCTATTCATAGGCTCCGCTGGAGTTTTTCTTAAGGGCCACATTTTGTTTTGGGGCTACTTGGTGGTTTCTCGGTGCTCCTTTTTCAGACTCGCTAACTTGTTTGTTACATGATGTTATCACATGATAACAATATTTCCTGTATTTGTGTTATATATGGGGTGCTTTAGATTCTCACAGAAGTAGAGTTAGAATAATTCTTCAATAATTATCAACTATTCATTAAACTCAAGGGCACAACACACAATGAAAGTATTAATTTCCTAATCAGCACAGTTCTTGAATTGATACAAGACAAGGGGCATATATTAGCAAAGGTTGTTTTTCTCCAAATAAATGACACACATTTCTACACAAGAAAAGCAGTCACCCTAAACACACCATCCGCAGACTGGTAAAATCAGAGCTTATTGTGTTTTCATAGCACAGGTACAGAGCTGTGACATTTTAAGCAGGCAGTTGCAATCCTAGTTACTGCATCTCAGGTTTAAATTGTACAACTGTCAGTGTTTATTACAGTAGATTCCATGACATTTTTCCGAAGTAGTCGATGCTAAATTTATGCAGCCCTAAACTAGTGATTCCACATCGGCTTGCAAGAAATTCATTGCCTCGGCAATTTAAAATTTTCTTGGATACCAGTTAGCCAAGCATTTCTTTATTGACAGGTTTAAAACAGTTCTTGCTTGTTTACAGTCTCGCTCTACCCCTACCTTTGGAATCTCTCTCTCTGCCAAAACACCCTTGCAGCCTTCTTCTTCTCCTCCTTTACACCTTTTACAGGATCCTCCTTCTGCTATATCTATCTCATAACTCTTTCTTCCACCACATTGCTCTTGCAGCCTCCTTTTCTGCTGATTTTCCCTTACAGCCTCCTTCTCATTCCCACAGCTTCCTTCCTCCCCACTCACATCTCTTGTAGCTTCCTTCACTCCACACACTCTTCTTGCATCTCCTTCCCTCATCACAGCCTCCTTCTCCATGTACACCCCTTTTATGGCTCCTTCTACCCCTATTTTCCCTCTCCGCCCCATACTTGAAGCCTGTTTCTCCTTTCTCAAACACTGCCTTCACCTGGTTCACGTTTTCATCCTGCAGATAGAATTCTCAGATCCGACAAAATGCCCTTAGAGTCTTGGGAAACGGTGCCCTGTCCGGGCCAAAGTGCCAGAATCGAAAGACTACCAACTTCACATCAAGATACAATTTCACATAACAGCATGAACAAGATCAGGACATATCATGTGGGGAAACTGCAAGACACAGTATAGAATAGTTCATAGAATCCCTGCAGTGTGGAAACAGGCCATCGGCCCAACAAGTCCACACCAACACTCAGAGCATTCCCCCGGACCTATCCTCCTAATCTACACATCCCTGGACACTATGGGCAATTTAGCATGGCCAATCCGCCTAGCCTGCACATCTTTGGACTGTGGGAGGAAACCAGAGAACCCGGAGGAAACCCACGCAGACAACGGGAGAATGTGCAAACTCCACACAGGCAGTCGCCCAAGGGTGGAATTGAACCCGGGTCCCTGATGCTGTGAGGCAGCAGTGCTAACCACTGATGCCGCCCTATTTGTACGTTTGGCTCTATTAAGTTACTTAAAGTTTGACCAGTTTTTATTAAAACCAAGTAGGAGTCAGTTCACTTAATTGGCAGGACGGCTAGTTTGCAGAATGACACCAACAGCACAGGTACAATTCTAACACCAGCTGTGGTTACCACAAAGGATTCTCCTTCTCAACGTCTCCCTTACCTCTTGCAGGATGACCCTCAGGCTGAACCACCATCAGTCATTTCTCTTAATGAGACAGCAGCCCTGCGACTGATAGGTGATTTACTTACTAAGTTATAAAATTAAAACAGAAAGTTCTTGCAAAACTCAGCAGGGTTTAATAGCATCTGTAGATGGGTTGGGGGTTGAAAGACATTTGTGAGGGTGCCCATAGGAAAAAAGGCAGATACTGATAATGATGGTGAGGGGGAGATATGCGTAAAACAGGTGTAAAATGTTAGCTGTGAAAAGAAGAAAATGGGTCCTCTCTGCTAATAGCAAAGCCGATAAGAAACCAACAACTCACAACTGGGGAAGAGTGGGTTATGTAAGAAAAATAGAGTACCGAGATCATACTCTGAAGTTGTGGAACTCAAAATTCAGTACTAATGATTATAAAGTGCCTCAGTGGAAAGTTAGGGAACCAGATTCAAAACGTTAACTGTTTCCCTCTCTGTAGACACTGCCAGACCTGCTGAGTTCTCCAGTACTTTCTGTTTTCATTTCAGATTTCTAATCCACAGTTGCTTTTATTTTGCTTTTATTTGAGTGACTCTGTCTAGTTCCACCACATTTTCTTCACAAATTCATAAATTTCTTTTGAGTAGACTTTCATCTCCATTAACTTTTCTGCTACTCGTTGTACCTTGAATCCTTTCTATGTCAAAGGCAGTACATAACTGCCAATTGCTGCTGAAAGGGTGCGCAATGAAAAACAACACTCATTTCTGATATATGAGACAGTATAGACAGATTTTACCTTTGATAGAACCTTCTGATTGGCAACCATCGTAATGAGACCTGCACAGCAAACCAATGCACTGGAACTAGAGAGTCCAGAACTGGGTGGGACTGTGCCATCAACCACGCAATTCATTCCATTGGCAATGATGTTGAAATGTTCCTGAAAAAAATATTTTTTATAAAATAAATTTTGTGCCTGTGTAGGCAAATCAATAATACTTGCTTTATAATTTGAATTGAATACATGTAATTCCTTAAAAATATGAAAATGCAATCTACAACAGCTGAGAGATTAAATTCTTATGTATTGCAAAGAGAAGGAGAGATGGAGAAAACAGTGAGAGATAGAAAAGAGACATGAAGAATAAACAAGACAAAAATGAGGAAAAGAGAAGAACAAAATAAATTGAATTTAGAGATTGTAGTGCTATAATATATGTTGATCTAGTTCATCACCAATTTATTTATGGATAATGTTGATGGTACTTAATATTCTAGCCAATGTCCATAAAGTTCAAATTGTCAATAAATAGTGGACAAACCAACAGTGATAGACCAAATACAGATTTTAAGGCACTTCCAACTAACACACAACTGTGAGTGTTTCATACACTCTTTGCTGGGTACTCTCTAAAAAGTGGTGTCTTTTACCAACTCGTACACCCCAGGCCTCTTTGTTACATGAGCTGCTTTCATCACACCCAACCCATTTTCATCCACTGATGGTCCACATCAGCAGATTTTCTTTCTCCCCTGCTCACCATTATCCATTTCCATTAGGGCAGCACGGTGGGTCAGTGGTTAGCAATGCTGCCTCACAGCGTCAGGGATCTGGGTTTGATTCCACCCTCGGGCAACTGTCTGTGTGGAGTTTGCACATTCTCTCCCTGTCTGTGTGGGTTTCCTCTGGGCGCTCTGGTTTCCTCCCAAAGTCCAAAGATGTGCAGGCTAGGTAGATTGGCCATGCTAAATTGCCCATAGTGTTCAGGGATTTGTAGATTAGGGGAATGGGTCTGGGTGGGATGCTCTGAGGGTCAGTGTGGACTTGTTGGGCCGAAGGGCCTGTTCCCACACTGTAAGGATTCTATGATTTTTTTTTGTTTGTTCAACTGCTGTTTTCTCTCTCTCTCTCTCTCTGAGGGCTCCAACTCGACCTCCTTCTCCTCCCCTTCTCTCCCCAGCCCCCAGCTTTTCTTAGCTACAATCATTCTTAAGAACATCACAATTGATGAGGATGTACCAAACGAATCTAAGATGCTGTTAAATCTTTAAATCAGTTAGAAGATTTTAATTGATTAATATGTATATGTAAATCCCTGAATTCCTTACAAGTCACAGTCCTGACAGAACTAAAGGTTTTATCAGTGTAAAGAAGAGGTGACATTCTAGGTCAGACAATGCATGCTCGATGTGAGGCCTTGTTAAGAATCTGTTTGCATTTTGGTTTGGAGTCAGACTAGTTTTATTTCTTACATTGACTGACTGTCTATAAATTGTGTGCTTTTTGAACAAAATAAAATGTATCTGCAAATACAAATTCACCCCATAGGTTCAGGTGTGCGTGTGTGAGAGAGAGAGAGAGAGAGACACAGACAGGGACAGAGAGTGTGTGTGAGACAGTGAGTGTGTGTGTATGTGAGAGGGGGAGAGAGTGTGTGTGTGTAGGGGGGAAGAAAGATTATGTGTGCATGTGTGTGTGCGTGTGTGTGTGTGTAATTGAGATAGAGAGGGAGAGAGGGAGACTGTTTGTGTGAGTGGGTGAGGTGTGTTTATGTATGTATGCTTGTGTGAGAGAGTGTAGAGTGGGGTGGGGTCACCTGTAGTGCAACTTGAACCCAAGTTCCCAGTTGAGGCCGTCCTTGTGGGACCAAACTTGGCTATCAGCCTCTGCTCGGTGACTCTGCGTTGTTGTGTATCCTGAAGCCCAACCTGGAGGACATTTACCTGAAGATCAGAGGCCGAATGTCCTTCACCACTGAAGTGTTCCCCCACTGGGAGGGAGCATTCCTGTCTGCCGATTGTTGCGCGGTGTCCATTCATCCGTAGATTTAACAGCATCTTAGGTTCGTTTAGTATATCCTCATCAATGGTGTGAACCTTTGATCTTATACTTATAAATTCTGTGTTTGATACTACCTCTCTCACTTACGCCTGAAGGACGACTGAGGCTTTGAAAGCTTGTGTTTTCAAATAAACCTGGTGTCGTGTGATTTCTGACCTTGTCCACTCCAGTCCAACACCAGCATCTCCACATCATTCTTAAAAAGGGTCACTGAACCTGACTCTGCTTTCTCTCCACAGACGCTGCCAGACTGGCTGAGGTTCTAAAAAACTGTCATACAGCCATGTGTAACAGATGGTGCATCAGATGGCTTCAGTTCAATTTCTAAACCATTCACAGTAGCAATGCATTGGCTAACACAAAGTTTCTCCATATCACGATAATCACTGGGTCATTGAAGACAGCTATTTGGTATCTTTTCAAACTGTCAAGTATTATATATTTCCATTGAAATACTTCTTAACCTCTCATGGTATTCACACAGGCATGGGAGCAGGGAGGAAGACAGACAGCAAGGGGAGGTTTGAAAAGGTAGTTTAAAGGGAATAATGTTCCACATTCTAATACTATTTTGAAAACAAAATCCTATATAAACTTACTTTTATGCCTGTAGTAGTTTCATAATTTTAAACATTATGCCACATTATTTATACTGCATCTACTGATCTTGAACTCTTTTATATTACTGCCAAGAGAAGTTTGTGTCCTGCAAAACTATGCATACAAAGTGTGTCCCCTGAGAAATCTTTAATCTTGAATTGTTATAAACTCAAGTTATACTGTGAAGTATCAAACACAGCTGCTCCACAAAATCTCATACCATTTCTCTCAGAATTCAGGGCTTAATTCCAAATACTATAGAACATGTCATAAAAGTTGACCTTCGATGTCTCGAAAAATCCAAACAAAAGGGGGTCAATTATATGCGATATATGAGTATTACCGATGTTGTATGCATGGTGGCCATTGCAAAATGTGAAGAAAACACTAGCAAATTCATATTAAATCCATATGGCTCATTTTAATGAATTCATTAATTCTAATCTTTAACTACAATCAAAACATTTCACAGACTGTCAAGTTCACTGGCATTTGAATCTGATGAAAGAATTCATCAAATTCATACAGAGTAATTTTGGCTTTCATCACATAGCTCTCGCTACAGATCAGATTTAGTACTTTCAATTTCAGAACCACCCCTCCACAGGAATCGCTGGATAATCTGCATCTTTTGAATGATATGATGAAAGTTTGATCGCTGGTAACATTCCAGTTTGGGAAACCATACAAAATATCAAACAGGGCAACATGCATATTTCCACTATTTGTGAAGGGATTTTCTCCAGGATCCATCCACTTATTCCATTTGGCACAAACAAGATCCTTAAATGGCTGTTGAGGTATGCATCCAATGGTTAAACTACAGATATTAGACCCCCGATATAACTACAAATGGATATTACCTTTATTCCACAGGCACGACTTGATCTCACGTTGATATAGGATCTGAACATATCCCACACTAATAAGCTTTGTGTCAGCCACTTTATATTATTGATTATAATTTCATCCCATTCTCATTCAATCAACCATCATCATGAGCGCATACAAAATCTCCTGCAGGAAACTTGATTTTTGCCTTGATTTTACATTTGAAATTTGACTTTTCAAATTTAATTTGAAAATAGAATAGCTTTACTTTTGTTCTGTTGGCCTTGCAGAAGAGTGCCACCAAAAATATTGCCTTATCTTTGTAGTTTTCACAAGCACAACTGCTAAACATGTCCACTCCACAATTAGATGCTGGTTATATCACAAATTTTATAGACAGGTCATCTATATTGCCAATGTAACATGATGTATACTTATTGTCTTTGCTACTATCTGATGATTAATCATCAGAAACTGGTAATTTTGGCACCAAGGTCTTTTGGTAGTCTCTGAGCATTTTGGTCTGTTCCAAGACTAAACATTTTTGTTCCATAAAGCTGCTAAACCTATTAGCTGTTGCTCTGAAATCTTCGCTGAAATCAGAGATTGATTTGGCCCAATTATGTGCACCTATGCGCATTGCATTTATGGTAATGATGCAACCATTCTTACAATTTTTGAGGACCCATTCAAATACATGCTTTTAAAATCAGAAACTGCTGGAGCAGCATCTGTGGAGACAAACCAGATTTAAGTTCTGAAGAAGAGTCACTGGACTCGAAATATTAACTCTGCTTTCCCTCCACAGAGACTGCCAGACCTGCTGAGTTTCTCCAGAAATTTCTGTTTTTGGTTCAGATTTCCAGCATCCACAGTTCTTTGTTTTGCTTCTCAAGATCAGGCCTGCAGTTAGCTTCCTATTGTCTTGGAACATTTAGCCTTGGGCATTTCTGTCAGGGCAGATTCGTTCTCCTTCCATTCTCGTACCCTTAATCACTTTCACTAAACTCCCTTGCTGCAGAACACTGATTCAACAAGGTAGCAAATGTTATGATTTTCAGCTTGGACCCATTTGTACTTCATTATATTTGCTGAAAGACCCATGTTTTTTAATTCAGCACACATAGTTCACTCTCTGTGGATGTTTCTTTAATTTCCATGCATCTCCTTGGCAACATGGATCGTTATTACCTACTTGATCCCATCCCAACTTATAAGGTGAATGACACATTCATCTCTGGGGTTGATCCCTAATGTGACTACACCACTTTTTTGAAGATGCAAGTTGGGAGGGAGGTGTGTACTTATACAAATGGCATAGACCTAAACATGATTTTTGGAATTGAAAAATGGACTGTCTTATGTGTCCAGTCAACTTATACATGTATATCTATAGACATCACAAATTTAAAGTCAGTGAAGTGCATGAATGCCTTTCACAGTCATGTTGAAACTACCGTAACAATACATATTTAAATTTCCCTTCTTGATAGCCTTTAATTTTTTGAATATAGTGCAAGTTTTATTGCTTAACCATAATGCTGACCACCATTAACTATTTGCACTAAGTGAACTGACATTGCATCTTAATGAATTTTATCTTTTTTCTAAAAATCGAATAGCAAGACACAATACTGAAATCTAACCAATGTATTTTACAGGCTGAC